GCTTCCTTCTGCTAATGCATCACTAATGGCAGGATCTGAAGCCTCAGTATTATATTTTAAAGTACCTTACATTTTGAGATCTATACAGTCTTATGGTTCTGTCATTGGAGAGGTGGCAGGGATGAGGGCAGGCAATTTCCTAAAACAATGCCAAACGCAGCTAAATGTACCTTGGGAGCATAACCACATAGATCCTTCTTATGTGGAAAAGGATATAGCTCAAGGGTAGATTTTGCTGCATCCAGGCAGGTTACTCTGTTCAACAACTAGGAGCAGAGCTACCTCCTGTTTGAACCCAGAAGATACACATGAGCTGTCTAACCCTGAATAAGGAACAATCTTCCTCAAGAGCAGAAACAAAGGGGTACCTATAAGGATGGGGAAATCCCATCCATGCTTGCCCCCTCTGTCACTGTCCTCCACCCTTATTTTTCTGCATATTTTTCACCACCTTTCCCCCTGCCCAATGGATTAGCCTCCCCCCCCTGCCATTGCAAAATCGCCCACTCTCTCATGGTATTTCTTCCCTCCCAGTAGGTCACATATTTCCCCCGTATTTTGAGTGGCATCTACACCAAGACTGTCAGCTCTTTCCTCCAGCTTGTTACTTGGTGTATGGGGGAGGGCTGTGGTTTTTCTTAACTTTTCATATTTTTGTGCCTGCAAAACTATAGCCTAAGACCTTTCATAGGATGTTTTGGATCAACCCAGGAAAGACAGACATTAGTATTAGATACAAGATCCTTAGAGTTTTCTCATGTACAGCTGTACTTTCTGGCTGTTTTTAAAAATTGCTTAGAAGCAAACTGACATACTATTGCTTTCTGCTGAAAAAACATCTAGGTACTGGAAGAAAATATCTGGTACAGCCTGCCTCCTGTTGGTCAGAATGGATCATTACCCAGCACAGAATGACAACAGAGAATTGGGAGAATCACTGATGCAGATAAAATGGAAATGAAAAGCTAGTAAAGGTAAGGCACAGCACAATATGACCAACTGAAATATCTTTATTTTGGTCCATATGCAATTTACATGCAAACTGTGTTCATTTTATCTTTCAACAATCCCCTTGATTAAAATAAGAAAAACAAGAAAATATTATAGTGATTTAAATTAGCAAATTAGATCTAATTGAAGCGATAAAACACACATTTTATCTGCATTTCAAAACTACTATTCAGCTTATTCCTATTTATCCACAATCATTAAACAAGATATTACCTGTTTCAGTAGCTTTAAATAAATGATTATAAAGCAGCTTTCTCTTCCACCACTTCAAAGTGCTTGGAATGTCAAACAAATTCTACTGCCAACTCTTATGGCTTCAATACTAACTGCTCAGATGATGAAAAGATAACCCAATGGGACACAAGAAAATAATACAAATGCCAATTTGCTCTCAACAGCACTTTAAACAAAACCTTAGTGTTAGTGACTGCATCTATTAATCACTGTGGTGTAAAGAAATGCATGACAGACTAGGGTCGCAAATCCCATCAACCAACTATAAGTCTAAAATCGATTTCAGACTTATATATTAACTAATCAGTGCTAAAAGCTAATGCGGCTGGCCATATATATGATGAGACCAACCTCTAAGCAAAATCCAGTGGTCATACTAAAACATATTGTATCCATATTAATTATCCTCCATAACTGGCTGCATGCAAATATTACTTCCCTAAACACTGTAAGAGCAACATGTAGAATTATGGCTTTTACTTGAATAAAAGGAGGGGGGGGAGAGACCGTCTAATGAACAATGGGGCATTAAAGAGAATTGTAAGGTACCAGGGGGTCTTTCCTCGCATAAACCTTTGCCCCCACAGCCGGACAACAGTTTGGATCAAAACAAGGGCCACTTTATTAACTATATACAATTTAATAACAGCAACCAGCAAGGGAGCACTTCCTAGGTAGCGGAACAGACAAGGCAGGTGTCAGGCTGACCAGCCTCCTTGTCTGATATGTGCGCGAGTCACCAACCCCGGTCTTGGGCCATTAATTTGGCTTGCGACCAGCAGCCCAGCCACAGGTAGCACAGCAACAAGGAGAACAATGAAACAAATAAAAATAGAACAAAATTACACCAAGCTGTACCAACAAGGGGTCATTTTTTTTTAAACTTCTTGGGAATAATAAACTCAGTTGAGAATATAACAATTCTAAAAAATACAAGGGTGTTAAGATTTGTACGCCCTTACCCTAAGCCTCCAAACATAGGCTAAGAATTCGACAACATACAAAGTAGTTGCCGAGAACTTATCAGACAATAAAATGTTAAGGTCGTTGTCAGTCGGATTCCTTGTGGTAGGTAAGTGGGGACTAATCAGATAGCTACACATAGTAAAATAATGGGGACAGCGTAGAAGGATATGAGCAACTGAATCAAGTTCACTATAGAGGCAATTGCACGTTCTGTTCCTATAGGGAATACCCCTATATCTGCCTAAAACAACGGCTGAGGGGAAAAGATTGAATCTCGCTAGCATAAAAACCCGCCGATAAAGTGGGATTGTTAGATTAGAGATGTACAAAGGCTTGGGGGGGGGGAAGGTCAAGGAAGCGTGGGGACTCCATCACTCCCAGCATTAATCGTTTGGGCTTCCATATCCCAAATCCTCCTCCACACCACCTGCAAAATAGCTGTTTCACCACAATTGTTCAGAGAGGACAAATCAATTCCCATGGTTTTAATTTTCTGCGCTATAGTTTGTGACCAAGTAGAGATATATGGGTCTGCAAGAAGTTGGGCAATAAGGCTGTTGGGGGGAGAACTAAAGTGCAAATGTAACCAATATTTAATAGTGGTGATCCACGCCCGAGATTCAATAAGATGGGCACCTAACTCCACACAAAGAGAAAAATAAGATACAGAGTTAGGAAAACCTAAAACCCTACGGAAGAAGGTAGCATTTATTAGTTCTATTTTTTAATTAAAATTTTGGATCCATTTAGGTAGGTACCCCATACAGTAAACGAGAAATAACAGACGCCTGAAAAATCTGAAGAGCTGCCGGGACAAATTGATTACCTTTTAAATAATAAAAAAAGAGTTAAAGCTGCAATCTTATTCCTAGCTAGGCTGAGAGAATGAACTCTATGAGGGCACCAACTTAAGTTGTAATGAAACAAGACTCCTAAGTATCTAAATGATTTGACCTGTTCTATTTCTTTTCTTTCTATTCTCCACTGATTACACTTCCAGGCTTTGGAGAAGACCAATATTTTTGTTTTATCAAAATTAATCAACAGAGAATTCCGATTACAGTAAGAGTTAAACTCTAATAAAAGGCGCATAAGTCCAATCCTAGTTAAAGAATTAAGGGAAGTGGACCTCAGCAGTACATTGTGTAGAGCCCGGCGTACATGCTCGGGTCTAGCCCTTGGCCTTCCACCGCCGTCGGTGATTCCTACTTATTGCTACACTCTCAAAAGTTCAGCACTTCGCAGAGCCTTCACGCTGGCTAGACTGAATAAGTTTCCGTCGAATGTAGTCTTGGGCCGCTTTCAGGGCATCCCGTTCTCTGAACGGCTGTGCGACTGTAGCCTAGGTAGGGTGGAGACAATGGATCACATAGTGCTAGCTTGCCCCAACTGGAAGATGGAGAGGCAGAAGTATATTATACCTATCTTGATAAAAGAAAATCTCCCCTCCCTTCCCTGGTCAATTTCTGTTCTTTTATCTGACAGAGCTGATTCAGTCACCAAAGCAGTGGCCATGTTTTTGGCCCTGGTGGCAAAAAAAAAAGGAACAAGGTGGGGAAAGTTCAAACTGTTCTGATTTGATGTAGCGGGTACCAGTTGGAAGAATTATCTCATGTGGTTTGACAATTTTAGCCAGTGTAACACACTCATATTGGGATAACGTACCCTATTGTCCATGTAGGAGCTTTTTAAATAGTGTTGATGTTTTACTTGTTTTTATTGCATAATTGTGTGTACGTGTGCTTAAGACTACTGGTCATGCAAGCCGAATATACATAAGATCAGATATTTCTTCATGTGAGACTGGGGGTCAATTGGGAATGTCCGATGGCATGGAACTAAAGTTAATCGAGGAAGATACAGAGGGCTCATTAAATAAAGAATTATAATAGGAGTGCCATCTGGTTGCAGGTATAATGCAAATAGAGTTGGCTCCTGTTGGATAATTTAGTCTACCTACCAGCGATCAGAAAGCTCTACCAACATTAATATGAACAGCATTAAAAAGTTGAGACCATTTCTTGGAGTAGAAAGAGTGCTTTTTTTGAGCCAATAGTAAACAGTATTATCTTTTAAGCTTATAGTATAAGGAGGGGATCCATGGGAAAGAACCCCTCCGTAACTGTCGAAAGAACTGGCGTAATTTACTTTTATGCAGGACAGAGCTAAGAGACCTGTGAGGAACCAACTGAAAGGTTAAGACCAGAGAGGTTCATGAGCTAATCATCCAATTTAATTAACAGAATCTTTCCTTTCTTTATACAACACTGTAATTGCGCCTTTATCACATACCAAAAATTCTATTTGGCCTAAGCATGCTAAAATTAGCAGCTGCTTCTCCAAAGCCCACCTTTGGGCTTTAGAGTCAGTCAGTCAGTCAGTCAGTCAGTCAGTCAGTCAGTCAGTCAGTCAGTCAGGCATTTATTACGGCAACAAGCCATAGTACACACATGCTTAAATATAACATTCATAACATTCATATAACTGAATTTAGGACAGTAAAATAAAACTCTATAAAAATACAGTTGAGTGTAATAAAGTAAAAGAAGAACGTAAATCAGAGACTATTAGGCAACTATTATTATTTATTTGATTGTGTATTTCGGATGCAGTAGCATGTTACCCAAAATTTTGCCACAGTTTCGGTAATTGTCCGGTACAAATAAGAATAACTGTACAGCCTCATTCACCTCCATGCTACTAGAAGGTAGATTTTTTACATATGGTGTGGAGGTTGGAGGATAATGGGGGGAGACCACTGCAAGGTACAAACAACTACCATATCATACCTGACAGCCAGGATCAAGATCCATCTTTCTTCGGAGGAATTTCTCAACATGTCCAATTGTCGCCTCTCCTGAAACCCGTACAAACTTTTTTTCTAGTGGCTACAGAAAAAAGGCAGCAAATTTTATGCTGTTAGTTTACTTAAAAAATTTTAATTTTTAAACAGTACTTTTGGACTCTTCTTTTATTTAAAAATACTCATTAATAGAATTATGACCACTGATGATGGAAAAAATATTCAAAATACATAGAGCCATACTCAGTCCTCTTGAACTACACAATAAGATCAGCTTACATGGCTCACAGACTGCAAAGCTCAGCTATCCCTACCCCCCTACTACTATAGTCCCTATGAATGCATATTTGGAAATGATGGCAATGGGAAATATCTCCCTCAAAGGCTGAAGATACAGGTCTGCATCTACCAATGCTATTGTTTCAAAGAGTTGCTCCGTACAGTCCTGTGACTGCTGTGTGTGGTCTGGTCATGCTTCCTGCCTAGCTAAATTTTTTCAGTCACTAAAACAGCCAAAAACCTAGGATTAAAAAAGGGGATTAAAAAAAATTCAGCCTATAATTCAAATCAATAAAGTAAATTACTATTTTGTATATTATAACAAACAATTTTAAACTATTTACAACTGAAAAGGAGTTTTAACTTTCTACCATGTAACTATTGAAAATGCAATCACAGCCCTAGCATTTGAGCCTTACCCTTGCAGGTTTTAAAAAACTGGCTGTCTTTAGTGCAAAACTGAATATTTCTTTATGAATCAATATGTAATATTTATGAGATTATATAATAAAGCCATTTTATATATGAATTCTAATAAAAATTCACATATACACTGTTGCAAAAATACATCCCTTATTTTTAAAAACTTGTTCGATTACTATGAATGCTTTAATTGTACATTGAATATCCAATTTTTCAAAACAGGGGAAAATGTGTTAAGGCTTTTGAATTTCTCTACATAGGATTCTTTGAGCAGTTCTGAAATGCTATATATTATTTTGCATATATTAAACTTGCATTACTACAATCAATAATATTTGTTTATTCTCAAAGAATTGATTCAGAGCTTCTTAAAATGACACAAAATGAACAGTTCTCAAAGAATGTTTATGCAATTAAAAAATCAAAAGTATGCAAAAGTTTATGAGGTTAGCTGATGCACAAAGTACTGATAACAACAAGAAAGGTAAAGCGAGTAGCCTAGGCTCCTGCAGAATCCCAGACCCTGACACGTGTAACCATTTTTCCTCTCCCTACCAAATATAATTCCCACAGATGCCATTGGCTACTATTCACAGAGTGTTCACCAATGTTTTAAAGACACAGGAACCTCTTTCTTGACAAGGCACACGAAGGCATCAAAGTTATAAGGACAGTAATGCCAACAAAATATCTGTACATGCATAAAAACATGCACAGGTATGCTGCAACAGCACACACTATGCACATGAATTATATTTGCATTTCATTGTGCAGTTCCACATTTTGCTTTTAAGAAGGTCTTGCTTGGCGATGGCAGGGTTAGGTTGAATGAAGATGCTGGAATGAGGCACTTGCAACAAAGAACACAAATTCTTGGAGAAAAATCAAGAGCTTTTAGCACTACTCTAAAATATTTCTCATTAGTTACCTAAGGCTTGCAGTCTTCTCAGAAGATTAAAGACAATCATGGCTGGACTTCCACAGCAGTCTTATGTGATGCCCTTATTTGAGAGCAATGCTGCTCTACGGATGTTCTTTGGACTCGGTTTGGGTGTTACAGTTTAAGTGCTACAGTTTTGCACAGCGTAATCCTTAACATGCTTACACCCTTCTAAATTCACTGACATCACCAGGCTTAGAAAGGTGTAACTCTGCTTGGGGTTGCACTTGTAAACACACAGATTCTTCTCTGCCAGTATGAAAAAACATCTGGCTAGAGTGAAGATCATGGGATGCAGGGAAAAGCAGAAAGGTGAGCGCATTTGAACTCATCAAACCACATTTCTCTTTTGATATCATACAGCTCCATGTGCCATTTTCAGAAATTTAAGTTAAGGAGTGTAAGGATCAGAACTTATAGATCCCAAGACTTTCATTAATTGTGATCAAGCTGCAAGTGTCCACAGTTTAGTTGGAGCCTGTTTGGGCTGAGCATTAATTAAAAGCACCTGGTGGCCTTGGCCCGCTGGCATAAGATACTTTTATCTGGTTGCCAGCTAGCAACAGGGATTAACTAACTATGCCCTGATTGGCTAATGAGGCCATTGGGGCTGACAGAAAGGAGATGTTGGGACAGTCCCCAGGGGCCTACCTAATGGGGCAGTGGCTATACCAGAGAAGACAGAGGTTGAAGCTTCCATGACTTCAAGCCAGAATATCAAGGATTGTTCCAGTTGGAATGGACTCTTTTTCTTAAGCCTCCGGGTGAGAAAGTCAGGTTGTACGATTACCCCAGAGAGGGAAGCCAGCAAGCACTTAATGTTTCAGAGACTCAGCCTCTGCCCAGCACAAGTATAGTGTTATTGTTGTGTTCTTTTTGCTGTTCTTGTGATTTGAGAGTGATTCCTGCTTAGCAAACACTCTTTATTATTTGAATGATTGCATACATGCAGAGGCAGTTTTTAAATTTGCTGCGTCAGGAGTATTTGCTGAATGTCTGCTTACATCCTCAAAAGGGAACCCAGAAGCTAAAAAGCCTCAACAAAGGCCTAGGACCAAGTGAGACCCCCCCCCCAGGTGGCTGGGGGTTCAACGCCTGAGAACGGGAGAGGGATTGTCCTTGGTCCAGACAAGAGGATGATCTTGTATTTTCCTTCAAGTTCCTGGGCTGAGTCAGCATAAAAATATAGTAAAGTGACAGGGTGGGACATTGATATATCTTCAGATAAGAAAAAAATAGATAAAGGGGCTGCTCAATCAGAAAGAAAGAAAAAATGGAGGAAAAGTCCTATGTCTGAGTGAGGGAACAGGGCTTGGTCATAAACCCTAATTTCAGCTCAGAAGAAAACAGAAAAAAGCATTCCAAGTAAAGCTTCCCACTAAAATGTCACTGAGTCAGCATGTAATGGTTTTATTACCTCAATGTGTAGATTTCTTTTTTAGTATTCTTTTGCATTGAAAGTACTTCCATCATTCATATAGCTGTTGAGCTATGTATGTATGATGCACAGCTGCATGCAACTTTTAAAATGGAAAAAGTAGCAACAGGATGCTGTAGCCTAGAGAAGACAGCTTGTGAGATTTGTTTCTTCTTCATGGCTTTTATCCATGGAGAGGAACGGATACAAGATTCCAATTATTTTCCCCAATAGAGGGAAAAAAACAACATAGGGGAACAATTTTGAGTAAACAAGTGACAGGAAGAGAGAAGGCCAACCTTTCTGCCTACCTGCACTCTAATAGTCATCTACATAAGATGACAGCCTTCTATAGCAATTTTATAATTAAAACAACAAGAGACAAACCCAACACCAGTGCAAAGTTTCACAACATCATATGAAAGAGAAACTAAGCTACTTTGGGACAGTATGCTCCAATTATATGTTTAGAAGCATGCAAATGTGTACTTCTACCAATTGTTTAATAAATTTCAGATTATTACTTTCATATGTTAAATCATGTTTTGGGTCATGCCTGTGAGCTTTTCAAAAATAATTTAATCCTTGGACATATCCCACAGAGTTGCTTATTCCTTAGAAGAACTAAAATCTTGCATAATGCTTTAGTGTCTCAAACTAAAATATGGCTTTCCTACCCCTAAAAACACACTTTTCCACTCTATAAGAAAGCGTTTAGAAACATGGGGCTGAATCCAAAGGTCATTTCCCACTAACAGAAAGCACTTTTGCCAGAAGAATGGAACTTTCCTTTCTACTCCCTCCCACTGCAACCCAATGAGCTCCTTGAAAAGCTACTCCTAAGGGACAGAGACCTTGTGTAAACACAATGTGGGGGTCCGCAGCAGCAGGAGGAAACTGACAAAAATGCTGTCCTCATTCTGCTGATGGAAGAACAACTTTTGGATTCAACCCAATGCATATTCCAAGACAATAACTTGTTTTCAAAGTGCTAACATTTTAATTATGCATGTAATTAAAAGTGAAATATAGGTAGATAAATTTAGTAACATCCACACCTTAAAACTCCCTGAGAGATCATTAGCTCTGAAAGAAAAAAAGAATTAACACAATCAATACCTCTTGAACTACATGTGTTTGCATGCTTGAATGGCTAAATCAATACAATGCCATTTTAGCTTTCATATACATAGCTTTCATGTACATATTTTGTTCAGTAGCACCTCAGATTGTGCTAGGGAGCAAACTGGCAGCTAGTGCAGTTGCAAAAGTATCCTAATTACCTGCTATAAATCCAGCTCCTCACAGAGACAAACAACAAACACAGAACCAACTGTAGTTGTTGGATGGATATCTTTAAAGACAATCCCAAGCAAGCCACAGTAATGGATCAAAGAAGTTATAACAATTTTACTCATTTTCTAGGAGAGGGTAGAATCAGTGAATTGGAAAAAAATGAGCTTGTTGGAAATGTATGACCCTATCAAGGATAGAGAAGTCTTACTTCTCCTAGGGGAAGGAGGCCACTAATGATTATCATTTCCGTTTTGTTCAGATAAAGTATCATTTTGTTAATCTTCATCCAGCCTGTTATAGCATTTAAGTACCGCTTCACAGCCACAATTGCTGTTCTTGCCCAGTTAAGAATTACAAATATCATGGGTCTAATTAGCATACTGATGACACCAGTCTCATGCTTGGGATGGTCTCATTCAGCAGTTTCATGCTGTCTTTAGGGTGAGACAGTAAATTTATTGCGTTACATTTAGGGGAATTATAAAAATAGCTGCTTTTATATTGTCACAGGAACAAATACCTTCATTACAGTGTTATAATTACAGGGAATTATAAAAATAGCTGCTTTTATATTGTCACAGGAACAAATACCTTCATTACAGTGTTAAACTGATCATCTTAGTTTAGGCTTTAACACTAAATATTAGATAAAAGAGTTGGTTTGACTTATGCAGAACAAGATATGCAGTTTAAAGTTTTACAGCCATAAACTCTATATGTACAGTGCAATCCTATGCAGAGTTACTCTAAACTGATTCATTTCAGTAGGCTCAGGGCAGAATAATTCTGCATGGGACTGCTTTTCTAGCCACCCATATCTCTAAAATACATAACATTCAAGATGGAGAGCTGAGCAGAATAATCATAAACGTTATCAAAGGCTGAAATACATTTCAGAGGACTGCTGTTTTATCTCAGAGATAGGGAACACGTGCACTTGCAGACAAGAATTTTATCTTTCAGAATGCCTGAAGTCTAGTGCTATTATTGCAGAAAGTATCTAACCACTGCAAAATTTAGTCTGAGTGATGTGGAATCAAATAAACAGAAAATTCCACATACTCTTTTATGTTCAATGGGCATTTAGACAAGTGCTTGTATAAAAGATGCATATGTACATAGTAAGTTGTGCAAATGCCTCTGTTTTTGTAAACATATTAAATATTTTTATGGTCTAGTAGGGCTTCCCTCCCTCCATTAGACTGTATCTCATAGATCTATTCCACTAATGATGGTGCTTTCCTCCAGCACAATACAATAGGGTCTTTCACTGGTGGAAGAAGATCTTGTGCTCACAGCAGGCTCCATGCACTGAAGGAAAGCACTGCTGTTGATCCTTCCCATTATTCTGCATTCAGCTCACCATTCTTCTGGTGAAGAAATCATACTATTAAGCTTCAGTATACCTTTTGACACTGAACGGGAAAGAAATCCTTAAAATATAAGCACCCAGAGAACCTTAATTGGATTAAAGTGCTGAAGAACAGATTGGTTTGGGAACTGCTCAGTTCTGAATTTGTTAAGACTATAATTTATAAAAAGCTGTTAATTTTAGCTCAATGACTGGATTAAAAAACAAATCATTTTCAAAAATGACATGGATGATGTAGAATCGGAATTAAGGAAAAGAAACTGAACAGAGTACAGTTTCCTGTACTCCTAAACTAATCAAAAGTATGACAACTTAGTCCTATGCAAGATTCCCCATAGCAAAGTTTATCTTAAAATTTCTGAATAGATTTTCCCTCACAATGGACTCATTGTTTATCTTCTAACACCAGGTTTGTAAAATTTTAAAGCTTCAACATTTTTATGAATGCTCTGGTTCAATAAACAGTTGTCACCTTTCCAGTTGCCGTTTCACAACTAACCTATTGATGTCACTAAGCAAGAAGGGTAACATAATACATTCTTTTAGAAGTTTGATATGGCATTAAAACTGCATTTATATTATTTGAAAAGTACTCTGTATCAAGATACAATATATCAATTTGTCTTGTAAACATAGAATCAACCTGAATAAGCTGTTGTCATAAGCAGTCATTGCCTTCAATTCCTGTCCTCAAATTATTGGGACTAACCTGAACCATTGCCCATATTACTATTTTTCTACATAAAGATAATCTCTGTTTAGGCAAGCAAACATTTGTTGTGAAGCATAAAGCATAACGGGAGTTTTTAATGACATAAATAAAAGGATGAGCTGGGCAAAGATTTCATTTCAAAAGATGTGCTGTATTTGAAGTTCAAGTAAATTTTTGATAACTAGGGCCAATGGCTTGGATTCAGCAAATCATTTCAGTAGATGGAAGGATTTCTGTCCATAGTGTGTCTTTTCCCCTCCCACTGTAGCCTGAAATGCCATCTCTGGGGGATGAGGACTTCCAGAGATGGCAGTGGGGGGCATTTCAGGATGCAGTGTGTGGAGGGGAAATGAGCTACCATGTATAAACATATTATACATGTTATACACACACAGTGCATGCAACACAGTTACTGTCAACCTTCATGTTTCAGCAATTTGCAAAGGCTGCCCATCAAAAAAATGTGGAAAACTACAGCCTGCAAGGGTTTTTTAAAAGGTTCAAGAGTTAAATTGCTTTTCAACTGATATGTTAAAGACAGCTCCTAAGGGACAAGTCAGGAAAAGAATCTCAGATGTTAGTGCTGAAGCAAGCCATCTCTTGCTAGTAATTGGTTACCTGATCTTTTAAGTTCTAAAACACATTAGCAATATACAACGAATATATTATACCATTTTTGTCCCTGAACTAGAAGACTAACAGCATTGCAACTTAGATCCCCTATCCAGCAAATTGCTGTTATGATATTGTATCAAGAAACAAGTAAAACTGTAGCACAAATAACAGGGAATCAACATTTCAACAAGATGTGCAAAAGTCAAACAAATATGTATATATCTGAAATCTGTACCTCATACTTTCTGAGAATTAGACAGACTAAGGCTACAGCAAGATTTTAATTAGGGCATATGTAGGCTGGCATAGTGGATAAAATGATGGGATTATCTAGGCTCAAATTCCCACTCAGTAAAAAAGCTCCCTGGGCCCCTGCTTAATCACTGTATCTCAGCCTAATACAGGGGTCGTTTCGTAGAAAAAGAGCTAGGGGAACTCATTAGCATAACTCATTAGCATATGCCACACCCCCTGACATCACCGGAAGTGTGTCATAAGGCCACACCCCCTGACATCACCAGAAGTGTGTCATAAGGCCACACACCCTGACATCACCAGAAGTGTGTCATAAGGCCACACACCCTGCCCCCAACAGTCCCGGCCACCGCCGCCGACCTTGCAGCTCCACTGCCGAGCCCCATGAGGGGCCCGGCGGTGGACCTGCAAGGCCGGCGGGAGTGCGAGGAAGCCCCGCGAAGGCCCTCCCTGGCCCCAGGCAGGCAGGGGTGGGGAGAGGCAGGGAGGAAGCAACTTATCCTCCCTCTTCTCCTGCCTCCTCCTGGCTGAATGAGGGCCTGAAGCGGGGTGGCCGGAAGCAGGGGGCGGGGCTTCGTCATGTGCTCCGCCCCCATACCTCACCCGGGGGAACTGCGATCCCCCGCGATTCCCCCTGAAATGACCTTTGGCCTAATGTACTACACAGATTTACCACACAGTGGGGTAATCCAAAGCACACCTTTCTGACCTCCCTGAAGAAAAGGTGGAATATTAATGTGAATAATATTTTAAATTGTGTTTTGCATTTAACAGTGCAAAAGAAATTGTGTTATTACATTCCTATAAAGATCCTTATTGTTATGGAGCTGAACATCTTCAGAAAACAGAAAAGAGCAACACCAGTTTTAGCAAACTGGTATTTTTAGAATGCTTACTCATGTACTGGTTGATGAAATAATATGGTTCTCTTATTTTACAGAGAGAATCCTCATGCATACTCTTCGTAAGAAGAGTCAGATGTAATCAGGGCTATACTGCATAGTAGACTAAGTTAGAATCTGGCTTCCTAAGAATTCATTTCCAAATAAGACTGTGGAAAAAAGAGACCGTTTCAAAATAAGCAAAACAGTTTTTGCTTGTAATTCCAAAACTCTTCCCTACTGGAATTCCTTTCCCCCCTGAAAACAAAGCACTTTAGGTGGTGATTTTTCCTACACAAAGACATTTTCATGAATAAAAGGTATCAATATTTGGAGCAGATGCAAATGTAATGACATGAAGTGTGATTGTGTCAGAAGCGTCAGAAGTGTGATTGAGTTTTAATGTTTATTATTGTTTAAATTATCTAACTTGTTTAATTTTACTCATATTTATTTTACTGTTTTTATGATGTTACCCGTCTTGAGCCCGCTTGCAGGATGAGTGGGCTATAGACACAAACAAACAAACAAAAAATAAATAAAATGAGACTTCTTTTTCAGTGCATGTATACGTGCTTGGAACTTCCAGGTGCCATGGGTAACACATAAGAAAGTTTTGTTTCACTCACCCAATAAATTCCAGGAGTAGTGACATGTCAAGTTCTGGGGGGATACGGAACACTGAGCCTACAACTTTGCGAGGTCTCCCCCTGACTACAGCAACTGACTGTGGCACAGCTAAGATATAAAAAGAGGGGAAAATCAAAAGCAAGAATATATGTAACAAGTGATATAGTGCTGTAACATATTTCAAGAATGCATAACCCAACCCTGACCTGGATAGCCCAGGCAAGCCTGATCTTGTCAGATCTCAGAAGCCAAGCAGGACCAATTCTGGCAAGTATTTGGATGGGAGACCTCCAGAGAATACCAGGGCCGGGAGGCCAGATGCAGGCTTTCAAGCCAGAGGTTGCCATGACTTCCAGACATGGGCACACACACACACAGATGCAAAAATACCAAAAAAAGAAAAGAAAAAAGAATGCATAACCCAAGCCACTCCAAGAGTCACTTTTTAAACAGGGCTGCATTGCCACATTAATTGTGGGAAAATAGTTTGTCACAAATTTAAGTCAATTCTCTCTCTCTCCCTGACTTCACTCTTCCCATTCCACAGCTGCTTACCAGCTCTCAAAGGCACATATCCAGCATCCTCAACAGCTCTCTGCCCTATGGTGAAGGGAGTAGAAATCTCTCAGTGTGAAGAAACCATCTTCCCACTAGTCTTTAATGTCATGCTGGACTTTTTAGCACACAGATGCCTGCTCCGAAAGTCAGTGCAGGAGTGAACAGTCTGCAATAAGCACCATACACTAGGGGAAGACATCTTCAACTGGCATCTAAAACTCAAAAGAGTAGGGAGGGAGTTCTTTTGATGGTACTACCATAGAAAAGCCCGGAACCTTATCAATTTGCTGCTGTTACATATAGGGATGGGCAAGAACTGGCTCATGAACTAAAGTGTGTGATGAATTTTGGCCGGTTTGTGGTTTGCGAACTGAAGTTCATGGCAGGTCAACTGACACAAACTTTCAAGCTGTTCATGGTGGTTCATGAATGGATACATTTCCAGACAGACTCTAGCCACTCAGTCAAAGTGTTTACCAAACTTCAAAGCAACAGGTTCCCAAAGCAACTGCAAAGCACAGGTTTCCTGTGAGTTTGATATGTGTAGCTTGCACTTTTGAACCTGCACCTGACATTTCCACCAAAAGCACTTCAATGGGGGCATCTTCTTTGGGGGCTATAACTCGGACCCCCAAGTCTAATCTACACATAACTTAGAGAGCATGTAGAGGAGCATCGGGGGGGGGGGGGTCCGAAGGACGTTTGATGCCTCTAGCTTGCAGAGGCTCCCTTCTATACACTCCTGAACCTGCGCCTGTCATTTCCTCAGAAAGCACTTTCCCAAGGGCACCTTCTTTGGGGGGCCCGTGACTAATTCTCACCAAACTTGGAGAGAATGAAAGCAAAGGGGGGGGGGGGAATCCTGGGAGTCCCCTAACCAGAGTTCCTCGCTTTTTTAAAAATGTCATTATCAAGCACGTGGGGCCAGATTGTGGCTGTAAATGCACTGCATGGAGAATTTTTTTAAAAAAAGATTTATCCCCTGCAATGGTTTCCCTATCCGAAACAGAACCCAGAAGTTATTTTCCTCACTGGAAAAACCTACAGTACTTGTAGCCAAATGGTTGCTCCACAGGAGGACCATTTCAGGTCGGAAAAATGGCACTCCACCCCAGTCCTTCACGTACCTAATAAATGCGTTCTTAAAGAGCTTGGAGTGCTGGTCACAGAAGTCCCAGGATCTTGTCTGGTTTGACCCTGAGCAGTGGTGCTATGCCAGTGGCTTAAAGGTATTAACCAATAAACTGGACCCCTGATTCTAAAGACCTTATCATCATGAGTAGGGCTTTCTTTTCTAAACTCATTCTATTAAAAAGGCTCCCACACTGCTTCAATATGGAGGGTACTCTGGGAAGTAAAATTATCTGCTTTTATACATATGAACGAAGTCACCAAACAAAACATTTCTCTTATCAGCATGCCAACTATATATTTCTTTTGCAGCTGGCAACTTTCACATAATGTGTTGTGCTTTTACAGCACCTTTAATAAAATAATCTTTAAGTTAGTTAATTAACAGTGTTCTTGCATGGCAAAGGAATATATTTTCAACCTCAGAAACAGTAAGAAAAAGCTTAATCAGGTACAATGAAGTATTACAGTTATTCTGCTCATTACCACAGCAACTACTATATCCAACAGGAGCAGAAACTATTACCATGCCCTGCTCACAAACATATCTGTGGCATCTAGCTGAGCACAGACTGTAGTTAGAATGCCAAGCTATATGAGCCACTATTTGGAAACAGCATAGCAATTTTTAAAAATAAGGTAAGTGCTGCTACTTACCAGGTTTGGGTATTTCTAGACCTCTCTCTCTGTAGAAATCATGCATTTGCTTCTTCTCCCCTATGTAGCAAATGCAATTTAGTCACTTGGGTTTGAAATGCATAGTCAGTTAGATTCAAAGTATCATAAATGTCCTCCTGAAACACTGCACTCAAGGGTCAAGAGACCCCCAGGAACAGCACTTTGTTTAATGTAGGAAATTGCAATGGGAGCGGGAGGGGCAATCAGTGAAAAAGCTTATCTTTCATTGGCATAAGGCCTTTTCCAATGATGGAAAAAGGGTTTTGAATCAATCATGGTCACTCACTTTTATTGATCACCCTTGCCACTAGTGTTTCTTAAAAATTTAAGAGAATACTTCATTTTTATAAGTGTTCAACCACACAACACTTTTGCACTGAACTTGCAGTTCACTGCTTTCTTCTCTTATATTTTGTCCTGATTAGTCCCACTACTTTTGATTAAAGCATTCAAACTGTAATTGTGAGAACACTGTAATGCAAATGATAGCAGCAGTATCTGTCAATAACGGGACAAAATATTAATATGATTATGGAAAAAGCTTTGAACGGATCTAGAACTGAAACACAACCCTAAGCATTAAGGAAACCTAGACTTTGTGATCGAAATACATTATATACATACAAGACTACGTGAATATTTTTAATAATAGAATCTGCTTCTAAAATGTATTATTTTCAAACCTTTCCTGTTTTTTGGTAAGGTAGAGGGGTAGGAATGGTTACAGAGGCTATGGGGACTGCAAAGCCAGTGGTCAGTAATTGATGGGTAGGGTGAAGAGAAGAAGGGTGAGGAGCAGGAGGAAGAGAAATATGTGGAGCTGTGTGGTTCAACAAATTTCTGATCATTGGGATCCATACCCTTATGTCATCTGGGATTTCTTCAGCCATTTCCCACAGATTTTCATACTTCCCTCTACAACCATAAGGTCTACAAAATTGTTTTCTTTTACCGTGAAAGAAAGGATTCTCAGATTGTTGTAGACCATACTGTATGAGTTTGGGCTTCTGGAGCAACTTTACAGAAAACGAAAATATACATTGCCTAACCTCAAGAAATTGCAACTTAGAGTATTGCTGAACACAGAAAAGTCCTGCATTATAGCTCATGTATTCTCTAGTTAAGCATATCTTTAGTCTAATAGCAAGAAGCTCAAACAAGAAGACTTACTTTCCTCCAAGTTGACTACTAATTTATATACTATGTCTTGCAACTGTCGATCCAGCCTATAGAAGAAATAAAATGAATCATTTAATATCGGTCACATTCTGCAGCATTAAATTAGTGAAGTATGGCCACAAAATGCAAGGAATTAAAAACCACTTTCAAATATAACAACAGATTGTTGAGTAAATTACTCTGTTATTTCCAACCAAAAGATATGAGCCAACTTCTGGGGAGTTGTCTAGGTTGTAGCCAAAGATTGTAACTTCACTATCAAGACTTTAGCAACAGTGGATTGATACCTAGATGGAAAGATATACCTGAGGAATTTCAAGATTAATGGAGCAAACTTCTGTCTGGATCTGCAGCACATCTTTTATGTCAACAGGAACTGATAATTTTTGTATGGGCTGCTAGACTTCTTTTGTGGGAAGCAGATGTTTCCTTCCATTTGTGTGAAATATACTTTCAGTTCTAATACTTAAACTAGCACAAGGACATTAATTTTAAAATATTTTATCTTTACAGGCAAACTGAATAGGAAACCACATCCCAAATACATTACCTGATATTATATAGGGGCTGTGTCTGATGCACCACAATGTTGCATTTTGGACATCTATTACTGTAGTAAAAATGTCTTACTATGCAGCTCTTACAGACTGTGAAAAAAGAACAAAGCAGTAGTTATGTGTTTATTATGAAGTATTAAAAAAACACCACAAACTGTAGTACAGGCTGCCTAGAATGCAAAGCAGAACAGAAAGGTGACCTTAAGTAAAACTAATGCTAGGTTCAGACTTAAAGCCAATTCTAAAACTGTACTCATGGAAAAGAATTCTTAGAAACAGCATTCCACAGCCTGCAAGCAATACCTTACTGATAAGCAGCAGAACATCCGATGCCATATCTGGTTCTGATGCCTTTAAAGATGCAGTTTCAAAGTGCTTGCATGCTTTCATTTATTTCCTGAGACACTAATTCTATCATACTTCCTACTGCAAATCATTTCTTAGAAATGACAAAGTATAAAATTTAAGATTCCTCAAATATGTATATGCATATGTTGTTACAGTGTAAAAAACATATCCTTTAACTGTCTGTTAAAGGTGGACCAAAGAGAATGGAATCCAGCTCACAGCCACACACACCAAGGTTGCAGTTCTAAGCATACTTACCAGGAAGACCCTGTGAACTCAGTGGAGTTTAAGTTCATTGTTTGGATAAGGCGGCTGAAAGTTCCAGTAATGTCACTCAGTGATGGATATCAGAAACTCCAGGGTTTGAACCTGAAGCTTCATAATTTATGCTTGAAATCTACCCTAGTGCGCAACCTGCAGGACTTGCAGTGCAATCCTATACCTGTCTGCTTAGAACTACTTAAAGCACTGTTTCAAGCAGTGCTTAAGCGTGCACAGGTTTACACAGAGACCTCTTCAGGCATAGAAAGAAATGATAATGTACAATTAGGAGGCAGTATGAAAGCCTCTGGACTGACCAAATTTAATACAAGTAAGTATTCTAGTCCATACAGCAGGGTCTACAGCCCCCCACCCGGACCCATCGCCCCATCCTGGGACCATATTCCTCATACGGTCCAGACAATGAGATTAGCAGGCTTTGCTGGGGAAGGGTTGCCCCCTTACAGCTTGCAGAGAGAGGCAAAATTAGCTGGGTGTACGTTCTCCCTCTGTACTTTGTGTCCCCGCCAGATAGTGAGGAGAAAGAGAGGCCAGCTTCTCCAGCAGCTAGGGAGATAGCTAGCATATGACCTAGGCGCCTCATGCATGGAGAGGTCTTTCCTGGACTGGGTGAGTGGAAAGGAAAAACGAAAGCTGACTTGTGCTAAATTGAGGAGAGCACAGAAAAGAAAAAGTCTGTAGGGGCTAGAAGCACAGAGAAGGCAAGAGATTGGATTTATACCCCGCGCTTCACTACCCAAAGGTGTCTTAGAGCGGCTTACAAACTCCTTTCCCTTCTCCTCCCCACAACAGACACCCTGTGAGGTAGGTGGGGCTGAGAGAGCTCTGTCAGAAACTGCTCTTTTTTCAAGAACAGCTCTTATCAGAACCACGGCTTGCCCAAGGTCATCCAGCCAGGTGCAAGTGGAGGAGTGGGGAATCAAACCCGGTTCTCCCAGATTAGAGTCCGTGCACTTAACCACTAGACCAAACTGGCTCAGAGTGAGGAAGAGCAAAACAACTCCTCCTCTTATATACCAAGTAACCCACAGGTAGTACGACAAGCATCATCACCCCCAAGTGCCAAGTACTGCAAAAGCTACCACAGTGGCTACTGCTGGCACTGACATGAGGAGACAAGAGCTCAGCTGGCAGAAGAACTACAGAAGCTGACAATCACTGCTTTTCTCAGGTCCACACTGTGAACTGCAAGGGATGACAGGAGGAGGAAGTGTAAAAGGTGGTGCTCAAAAGTGGGAAGGGAGAAGACAGAGACTGGTATGAGGATACCTCATACAGGCCACCTGGCTCATCTTTTGGGGAGTTATCTTGAATCTTTACCAACTGCTTTTATCTATTGGCTTCTCTTTCTTTTGAGGGGGTCATCCTACATTCAAAGATCTTCCTTTTTAGTAAACATGGTACTTTCTCTTGATGCTGATAAAGCTATTACAGTTATCTTGATATACTCAAAATGTATTTTTTCAAAATGTAATTTCCTCAAATATGAAATTGTTTCTTTTGAAAAGGAAAGTTAAACTTACATGTATGAAGACACTCTGTGATAGTTGTGGCATCTATGAAATACCCCTTGCAGATGGAACACATTATGTATGGTGTCAGTTCAGACAGATTAATCATACGCTGTAAGTGAACAAGATACTTGTGTCAGAATTTTTTAAAGGTTGGCATGCTACTTACACAACAGATGTATGTAAGTAGCATGCTAAAAATTGCAGTTATACATACATCCTCTTTCCCCTTAAGAACTGGTCTCTGCAAGAATAGAACTTAAAAAAAAATTAAGCTATAAATGTAGGCAAGAAAGCACCAATCTCTCTGTCTACCTTAGAGGCATATATGATGTATCAGCTCTATGTGCAGTTTGCAGGGAAATACTTTCCAGATGCAATTTCTGTGCTGAACATGACAGGAAGCATTGCTCTAGAAAGGCCCCTGTGACAGACAGCAAGCAGTTGCAGGATTTTAGGCAATGCTGCTGGAAAAAGGGTGAGCTAGCTGAAAAATGATTGACAGCTCATGGAGCTCATTCTGAATGGGTGAAGGCAGCTTACTATGGAACAGAACATGGAGCTGTTTAAAAAAACTTGAAGTGGGAAGAAGGTAGTTAGCCAGTTGGAGTGGAACAGTGAGGAGTTGGAGCAATCTAACATCAAACCAAAGTAAACCAGAGAAAATAAAAGCAGTTTTGTATATATTTCTTAAAATCTCTCTGTACCAACCGTAACCAAAACTCACTTGTAAATGTAATTTCCATCCTCTGCCTGTTTGTGCAAATACATTTAACTTCTGTTTCAACTTTAAGTGTGCCTAGGTGCCTATTTTTGAAGGAAGATTCCTAGAAGAAAAAACCCTCACAGTAATAAGGTGGGGCAGTGGCTTTATAATAACATTTATTTACCACATAAGAGTGACATGCTACCTAAAGGTTATCCAGTTAACATATGGGAAACTGAAATTCATAGTGGAAGTGGAGGGAAAATCTGAGGCTATACAAGGATGATTGTTTGACAGGAGTGCTCGTTTGGTACAGCCCCATCTCCAGCACACATAGCATACTGACAGAGGCACACTGCACATTTGAAGTACATACACAAAACAGGGCTTGTTGACAAATGTCATCCTGCTAGTCCTCTCTCTCTCTCTCTCTCTATTCAACATATACTAATGCATTTTAACTCATTTGGAAAGAGAGGCTTGTAGCATCATACCAAGATACAGTGAAAATGGCACATATGCCAACACAGAAATATTTATGACTGTCTTTTCCCCACCGTAATACCAAAAGGCTCAAAACAGCACATCAGCCATGTGAATGATGCTGCAATACACGCCCTGGTAACATCTAGGCTAGTCTACTGCAATGTGTTCTGTGTGTGGCTACCCTTGAAGACTGTTTGGAAGATATAATTGCTACAGAATGCTGACTAAAGAGAGTCACAGAGACCTTATCACTCCAATCTTGTTCCACCAACAGTGTCTCCCTGAACAGAATTCAAGATGCTACTACTGACCTTTAAAGCTCTAGATAGCTTGGAGCAAGCTTATTTTAAGGACATCCTAGTCCCATATGAACCTACTTAATCACCATGGTCAGAGGCTCTGCTTTGGCTGCTTCTGCCATCCAGGCCCGTAGCCAGGTTTTTTGGGGAGGGAGTGCCGGTGGCCTGCTGGACAGCAGGGAGCCAGTACAGTCTTGGGCAGCCATAGAGGGGAAGGGGCAGTGAGCTCTCTGGGGCTGGCTCGGGCAGACTGCTAGCACGGAGTGTAGAGCAGTCTGGCACCAGGCAGCAGTGTCCTCATGGCTGGCCTGGCACAGCCGTGCCACGCAGGCATGTGGGCACACCCCTGGCCCAGTGAAGGTCATGGAAGAGACCTGGCAGCTGAGTTCCTCTTTCCAGTCTGGCTCTGATGGTGACCGCTGGAGCTGGGCGAGGGCAGGCCTGGGAAGGCACCACTGCTGGCACCACCTCTGCCAGCTGGAGTGGGGGGGGGAGAGAAAGAGGAGAGGGCTCCTCCTAGGTCCTTCTGTTAGACAGAAATCCCGTCTTCAGTTTCTTTCCCGAGCCCAATTTGAGAAAACACTCAGCACAATCCTGTAGAGTAGAACCAGATCTAGAACTTTATTAATAAAGGAGAGAAGCATGGGTTCAACAAGATTTTGGATCCCACAGCTCTCCCTAAGGTTACAATGGGAGATATCAGATTTTATACCCCCTATGACACTTACAAATAAATCATAATTATTGGTTCCATCAAACTTGTGCTGAGTGTTTTTTCAAATTGGGCTGGGGAAACAAACTGAAGACGGGATTTCTGTCTAACACTTCCTTCCTGGGTCTGCTCTGCTCAGTCTGCTGTGGTCCATGGGGCCCTGAAGATTTCATAGGGGGTGCAACCTCCAGCCCCCCCCCCCCCCCCCAAAAAAAAAGACCTGCTGCCATCTGAGCTGGGTGGCAATCCTGACATGTTTTTTTTTTAGTCATTATGGAATTCTTTCCCAAGGAAGATTTATTTGTTCCCTTCTATCACAGTCTTCTGTCAGTAGGTGAAGACTTTTCTGTTTTGTTTGGCATTCCTTCATGTATGCGTTTGTGCTTCGGTGGAATGCTTTTATTTACATACACACACACACTGAAAAAATTGTTACATTTTGATGTTCGTTGCCTTGGAGACCCTGAACAGGGTTGAAAGGCACCATAATTATGTTAGGAGGCAGCAACTTGCACATGGGAATTCATAATTAAGTATAGAGTCAAACTTGTGTTCTTTAATCTATGTTTAAGGTCAACTTTCTGGCTACTATACTTGGTGCAAGGCATGCTGGGAAGTACTACAAAGCGTCCTCACACCCCCAACCCCCTCCAAATGCGCTGTAATAGAAACCGTGGGCCCTGCGTTACCTCATCTTCATCGTCTGAGTCCATTGCTCCCTCCTCCATCCCAAAGCTTCCAAAGGGCTCCCTATGTCCCCTTTCTAGAGCTGCTACTTCTTCTTCTTCTTCTATCTCTTCTTCCTCCTCCTCTTCTTCCATCTCTTCATTCCCCTCACCACTCGACTGTGAGCGGCTTTCCCTCTCGAAGCGCGAGGCCGCTCCGGAGCAACCAGGAGCTTCCGGGAGCTCTTCTTCGTCTTCCTCCTCCTCCTCCTCTTCCAAACCCTCACCCGTGAATCCTTCACCCATTTCCATGCCCCTGAAAAAAGCAAACGCGCAGGCCGCTTCCACCAGCAAATAAGAAAACGGTTCGAACACGTTGCTTTCTACGAAAAAAAACCTCCCCTCCCCACCCCACCCCCCAATCTCTCCTGCTTCCCCCCCCAGGTTCTCTAAAAGCCTCCCCGATCAGACAACATAAACGTGAGCACTGAGCAGGAACCACATGCGCAGAGTCCGGTAGTGGTTAAAAACATTCTCTAAGTATTCTGGGAAATTGAGTTTTTTTTTTTGGGGGGGGGGGGTTAAGGGGAAATGAAACCAGTCTCAGAGAGCAATGACCGTTTCACTTTGGGTAGAAAGTACCTTGGAGGTGATTTTCGATTTCTGGCATCATAATGACTTTGATCTATGTACAATTTAAAGATGATTAGTCTGCATGTAACCAGTATAATTCCTCTGCAAGTGAAATAGCCAGCAAAGGGTTTTATAACATCCTGAGACTCAAGTGACAAACAAAAAATCTGAGCAGTGGATTAAACAAAAATGTTCTGTCCGTATTTTGATGTATGTTTATGCTATAGGAAAAAAAGGGAACTGGCAGACTGACCAGCTGGCAACAACCAACAACTGTAATGATTTTTTAAAATGACATTTTCATTTTGAGGCAGAATTGATGCCCAGTAGAAATTTTATTTATTTATTGTCTGCCTTTCTCACTGGGACTCAAAGTGGATTACACAGATTACACAGAGTAAATCAATAGGAGTATGGATCACGTAGCACATTATATGAAGTATGTGAAATTATATCTTAGTATGATCAAAATGGTTAGCATGTTAGTCTGTTTGTAACAGTAGAAAAGAGTGAGTCCAGTAGCTCCTTCAAGACGGAAAAAGGTAAAAGTCGGATCTACATGGATCCTCATGAATTCATATGATTTTTACATTGAAACGAAATAAAACTACCATCATATTGTAGGCCATATGTTAATCTATAGGGGGCACCACAAAAATCATGCATCCACAGATTCGTGGCACCACAACAGCGCAAAAACATGATTCCAAAGCACGGATCCTCATGAATTCATATGATTTTTATGCTGAAACAAAATAAAACCACCATCATACTGCAGACCATGTCTTAGACTATAGGCAGCACTCCAAAAATCATGCCCCCACGAATTCGTGGCACCACAAAACTGCAAAAACTTGGTTCCAAAGCTCGCATGTGTTGGCCGAGCGGCAACGTGAGAGGTGGAGTTTACACGGGAGAGGTGGAATTTACCCCTAGGACTCCAAGGCCACTAGGGACTCAGAGAGGCTTGGGGAAGGTTTGGGTCACCCCCGCCCCCGTCGACTGCCGGCAGCCATAACTTTTTAAAGAGCCCCTAACAAGACCTGGGGGAGCCAGAATGACCTCTCCCGTGTGATGGCCGAGCAGCAATGCGAGAGGTGGAATTTACACGCGAGAGGTGGAATTTACCCCTAGGACTCCAAGGCCACCACCCCGGGGCTCAGAGAGGCTTGGGAACGTTTCGCGCCCCTCCCCCACCGTTGCCGTTACCGCTGCTGCCCCCACCGGCGGCCATAACTTTTTAACGAGCCCCTAACAAAACCTGGGGGAGCCAGAATAACCTTGGCCATCACACCGGAGAGGTGGAATTTACCCCTAGGACTCCAAGGCCACCACCCCGGGGCTCAGAGAGGCTTGGGAACGTTTCGCGCCCCTCCCCCACCGTTGCCGTTACCGCTGCTGCCCCCACCGGCGGCCATAACTTTTTTTTTTTAAAGAGCCCCTAACAAGACTTGAGGAGTTGCGGTGGCTCAAGTGGTTAAGACGCTGAACTGCAGGCTGTGGAAGGTCGGTAGTTCAGCAGTTCAAGACCCGGGTTGCCGCATGAGGGCGTGAGCTCCCGTCTCTAGTTCCAGCTCCTGCCAACCTAGCAGTTCGAAAGCAAGAAATTGCAAGTAGATAAATAGGTACCACTTCGGTGGGAAGGTAACAGCGTTCCGTGCGCCTTGGTGTTTAGTCATGCCGGCCACATGACCACGGAAACGTCTTCGGACAGCGCTGGCTCTTCGGCTTCACAACCCTAGAGTCGGATTCGACTGGCTTTTGAGCAAGGGAACCTTTACCTTTAACAAGACCTGGGGGAGCCAGAATGACCTCTTGCGTGTCATGGAATTTACCCCTAGGACTCCAAGGCCACCACCCCGGGCTCAGAGAGGCTTGGGAACGTTTCGCGCCCCTCCCCCCGCTGCTGCCGCTGGCAGCCATAACTTTTAAAAGAGCCCCTTAGAAGACCTGGGGGAGCCTAACAAGACCTGGGAGAGCACTGTTGTGGTGCCACGAATCTGTGGATGCCTGATTTTTGTGGTGCCCCTTGTAGACTAACACATGACCTACAATATGATGGTGGTTTTATTTCGTTTCAATGTAAAAATCATATAAATTCATGAGGATCCATTTAGATCCGACTTTTACCCAGTCCCCTTAAAGACTAACAAAATTTGTGGTAGGATATTAGCTTTCGTGAGTCACTGCTCACTTCTTCAGATAACAGTGGAACATAGGTTGCAAGTGCATGCTTAGGGCGGAGCTGTGAGCGGGCTGCCAGCTGGGATATGCCAACTTTCGAGTTTCAGAATTTTTATCGATGACACTCGAGAATTCTGATGACGAGTATAGTAAAATCTTTCAATTCACACTATTACAATATGTGTCCTTTAACAAGGCAGGGATCGAGCTCTGCCTTTAACCTTCGATCGCAATCATATTTGTTTACGCGAAAGGAGGAGCCACTGAAATTAATTTACTTTTATGCAATGCATTTGGTTCAGAGGAAGAAGGCACGATTTCACAAGAACCAGAAAGCATTTAACCATAACCCTAAATGTATACAGAAGCCTTTGCACGTTTTCTAAAAATCACGGACTTAACAAAGTGTTCCGACACGTATTCACCCAACCAACGTCTAAACAGTCTTGTAACAATTAGTGGTTTTCCCATAACAGGAACCGGAAATACCGTAAAGCGTTAGCCAGACTGTCGTTAAGCGTTAGTGGCTTCACTTTGAGGGACTATGCCCTGACTGTCGTAAACCCGCGGGCTGCCTGAGTAAGAGGCGAGGCTGCTGAGGTCCGGTATGGCGGCTCTGCCGGAGGAACCGGCCGAGGCGGTAACGGTGAAGCCAGACCCCGATGGGGGAGCTCCACCGCCTCCTCCACCCCAGTCCCCGGCAAATTCCGCTTCCGCTCCCCCTCCCTCCTCGACCGCCGCTGCTCCCCTCACGGACGGGGAGGCTGCGGTGGGCACAACTGACTCGAAGCCCCCGGTGGTCCCCAACGCTCAACCGGCCGCCTCTCAGCTGCCCACCGACCGGCAGACGCTGCTGGCGGTGTTGCAGTTCCTGCGGCGTAGCAATCTCCGCGAGTCCGAAGAAATTCTCCGCCGAGAAGCCCGGCTGCTCAGCGATGAGGTCGCGGCTGATCTCAGCCCTTCGGCGTCCGGCGGGCAGGCAACTCATGGCGGGGAAGGGCAGGAGCCCACCCTCGGCGTCGCTGCCCCCGGACCTGGGGAAGTGCTGCTCAGCTCCGTCACTTTTGGCCAGGCTGGGGCTGCCGTCGCTCCTGCAGCTGTCACGGCCCCTCCGGCGGTGCCCTTGGGACCCGCCGGGAAAGGTGAGAAGGCGTGCGGACCGCTCTCAAGAGTTTATGCTGCTTTACCTTTAGGTATTTTTGCCCAGTAGTTATGACAGCAGAGGTTTAAAAAATTAATATTTATTACACGCATAACGGGAATAGCAAATTGTATATTGCAGTAACACAGATTTGGCTTTGCAGTGGCTTTGCTCCTTAGTTACTTTAAAGTTCACATGGTCATGGATCCTGAAATAAACATTAGATGCTAACTTAGAGCTGTGTTAATTTGGATTCTGACTCTTTTTGGGAAACATTCCACAAAATAATTTATAGTTTCCTGCACTTCTTTCTGCTTTCATTTTGACAGCCTCCCAAAGCCTCCCAGTATTACAATGAGCAGTGGCCCAATAGAAGAATGTATATTTTGCAAGTCTTAGGTTCAATCTCTGGTATCTCCAATTAAAAGCTCACAAGTTAGGAAGCACCTTTCTCTTCATGAGGCCTTGAAGAGTTGCTGATAGGCTGAGTAGTAACATTACTCTAGATGGACTGATGGTCTAACTATGGCAGCTTTGTGCGTTCCTGTGTTCATACTGGAATATACAAATAAAAACCCATTTAAAACGGCAACCGGTATAAATAATTTTTAAAGACGGAGACATAGAAATTTGAGGTTCTGTTAATTGCTAGTATTTTAGGGCATGAATGGCCTAATGCCCATTGGGCCTGTCTTGCAGGGCTTTTGGCTAGAGTTGTTACTGTTCTGTTATTCTACTTGGGTGTGTGTGGTATTGCTTGAACTGCTTTTACTCTGTTACCAGCTTTTGGTCCCAATTGTCCTGGAGAAAGGTGGGCCTCTGAATATTTTAAATAAATACACAACAAATAAGAGCAACACACTAGTATCAGGTCCCAAGTATCTGAACTAAGCAGTGTGAAGCTTCACTACTCAGTTATAATTTTTCAGTAGATATTCTTAGCACTGAAGAACCTGTAATATTTAATCAGTTAATGAAGGATTAAATATACTGTATTAAGGAATTTCAGCTAAATAAAAATCTGTTCATAAGAGTTTTTCCAGCATCATCAACAATTTGTGTTATTGTTTTCCTCATCTATTCTGGGCAACTCAGACTCAACTTTACTATAATTATATATGGAATATGATAGCAAATGCTGTGTAAAAGAAATCAGGCTTTAAATCGTTAATATATTGTCATCTTCTCAGTCATCCATGTCAATGAATTTTAGTGGGAGTTCAAAGTAAACATGTTTAGGATTGAAATATTACAATACAAAGTACAAGCATTATTTAATAAATACATATTTACCCTGATATGTTGATGCTTTGTAGTTGGTGTCCTCATGGAAGATCAACCGGATGTGAGTGCAGTGTTGTCTGCCTACAACCAGCAGGGAGACCCAGCACTCTATGAAGACTATTATAGTGGATTGAAACACTTTATTGAATGTGCTCTGGACTGTCATCGAGCTGAGCTATCACAACTTTTTTATCCTCTCTTTGTGCACATGTATTTGGAGCTAGTCTACAACGGACATGAAAATGAAGCGAAGTCCTTCTTTGAAAAGTAATATAATTTTGTACATGTAATTTTATTTTTGTTTTCTCACTTTAAATCATTCAATCTGTTGTAGATCTTCAGAATTAATATAAAGCTATGTAGTGATCTGGAAGCACAGTATGTAGCATTTTCTGTGTGGTTATTTGTTAAAACATTTATACCATGCCTTTCCCTATGGCTCAAACTGCCTTACACATTCAATTTAAACATACAAAATACAATAAAGCCCCAAATAACCCTCCTCCTCCAGTGCTAATTTCAAGCAAATAACTGTTGAGTATATTCATATTTGCTTTATTTGTAATTCTATAAATCTGAAATATAAGTTCTTACTTCAAGCTGATTGTATTCTATTCTGATAACACTTTTATCCATGTGCATTTCTCTCTACTTCTTAAACCTCATTTTCTGGACTAATCCAATGGACAATAATGTGCTTTTTTTGTGCTGTTAAAGGGGTTTCTTTCCTATTATGGACAAAGTTCTCACCAGGCACTGCTTTGAGAGGAAGAGTAGGAATGCGCTCTCGGTGCCCAGTGCTGGAACAATCTCAAGTGCCTTGTGACCTGAGTTCCAAAAATTATTATGTAGATACTTAGGAACCTCAAACATTTTTTTTAGTTCGTTTAGTTTTTGCACTCATAGCAAGTGCTGCTGCTAATGAAGGGCTCCTAGCTGCTTCTCTTAGCAGTCCCAACTGTTGTTTTCTGTGCTTTGGTATAAGCAGATGTCTGTGTTAAATGCCTACTTACTGTTTTCTCAAGATGTTCTGAGGAACATACAATTCAAGTTGTTTAGGAGACTGTCATCTTTTAAGTCTCTAAATCCTCCTTCTAGGTTTCATGGGGATCAGGAGTGTTATTACCAGGATGACTTGCGCGTATTATCAAGTTTAACCAAAAAAGAGCACATGCGAGGGAATGAGACAATGCTGGATTTTCGAACGAGCAAGTTTGTGCTGCGCATATCCCGTGACTCTTACCAGCTCTTGAAGAGACACCTTCAGGAAAAACAGAACAATCAGATATGGAATATTGTTCAAGAGCATCTTTACATTGATATATTTGATGGAATGCCTCGCAGTAAACAACAAATTGATGCTATGGTAGGAAGTCTGGCTGGTGAGGCAAAACGGGAGGCTAATAAAGCAAAGGTACGATGCTGATATTTTTACACTCAGTAGGACATAAATAACATCACAGATAATATTTTGTCAGGGATATCTAGGTTGTCAGGCCACTGAAAGCAACTTATACTTTGGTTCTAGGTAGAGAACTAATTCAGCAACTCTTTGATAGAAAAAGATAGACAGCTTTCTAAGCCCATCCTCATGGACGTCGGATACCTTGTTTTTATCCTGATACCAGTTTGGCCTTTGGCTTTGGCCAGTGTAATACAGCTAGTGGATTAGCATTAGTTGGGATGTAGAAATTTAATTTTGGACAGGAGATGATATGCTTAAGACTTTCCAGGATCCCCTGTAGAATGAAATTTTAGTGAACTGTCTTATCAGTAATGGTTTTGGTATTCAACGGTGTATTCGATAACCCAGGAAATGAGATTTTTAAACTTTAACAGGCACCGCTAATTGTAATATTTAAATATTGAGAAGTTAATAAAGTTAAATGGGCTATTAGGACATTGCTTTTAATAAACTCAGGCTGCAATATGTGAAAATTGTACATGCACCATGCATATAAGTTTACTGAATTTCTGTAATTTTCTCTTCTGAATGGTACTATCTTGTACTAAATTAGATGTTGGACACTAATTTTTTCAAGCAACTGCAATACAAAGAGGTACCTCAGAAAGCTTTGTTGTATGCACAGAAGCTCTCCAAAGGCACTAGTTCTTGGGCTGCAACATAACTAACTTTGTGCACCTTAGGAGAGAGCTTTCAACTTGTATTTCATCAACAGGAATTGTCTTCATAGCATGGTAAACCGTTTTGAAAACTCGTGAGAGCTGCAAAATAATATTTGTGATGTGACATCCAGGGTGTAATAAAACCTGCTGTTTTTCTTTAATCTATAAGAAATCTCACGGGGCATGTTCGTGCCCTTCATCACACCTAAAGTATCCCTCTAGATCAGGGGTGTCGGACTCATTTGTTATGAGGGCCGGATCTGCCATAAATGAGACCTTGTTGGGCCAAGCCATGTGTGTCATAAAATGTAATGCCAGGTAGCAGAGAGATAAACTTTATAAAGGACACAAAGGGGTTTTTTTAAACTTAAAAACATGCTTAAAACATTAGCACTCTTGCAATATTCTGTTTATTTAACAGTGTCTGATAACTGACACCTCTTGCTCTGAATTGCATCAAAATGTCTGTGCTGTTGCAATCTTGACTATGCTGTTCAGGTTAAGCTGCAAACCTATGATGACGCAGCAGCAGCAGAAATGGAAGAAAAAGCAGAGGACAGTTCCACTGCAGGCCTGATAGAAGCCCTCCGGGGGCCTGATCTGGCCCCCGGGCCGCATATTTGACACTCCTGCTCTAGATGGTGGCATTTGTATTAACTTGTATCATATATTGAATTGTGACTTCTCTTTGACCAGATGCAAATGAAATAAGGGTAGTTTTATCACTGACCTATGACTATCAGTTCTTAACTAGATACCATTAATACATAATGTGAGTGAAAATTGTGGTTTAGTAAGAAACATGCACATTTATTTTAAAGCCATTTAACAACTAATTGATTCAGTAGACGGTATCTTACTGGTTGTGCATTTCACTAAGCCTATATTTATATAATAAAATGCTGTACTTTATACTTTGGCTTGTAGGTCTTTTTTGGCTTATTAAAAGAACCAGAAATTGAATTACCTCTGGATGATGAAGATGAAGAGGGGGAAAATGAGGAGGGTAAGCCAAAGAAGAAGAAGCCAAAAAAAGACAGCATGGGATCAAAAAGTAAAAAGCAAGATCCAAATGCTCCTCCTCAGAACAGGTAATTTTAAAACTAGAGACGATCAGTTAGTGGCATGGATCCTACCTAAAATGTCAGTGGAAGGAAGGAGTTCATCTGTGGAGTGTGACCCCCCCCCCCCAAAGGCCAAGATGCTTCTCCTGCAGGAGGGTTCTTAGGAATAGTTTGGGGAGTCAAAGGTGCACCATGGGAGAGGGGAATTAACATACCCCTCTGTAACGATTCCTTGTTTTAAGTGTGTGTGTCAGAGGTAGAAAAAGTCAGTTATGAGAGACAGTTAGTATGAAAAGTAGTTGGAATTGTTCAGTTGGTGTTCAGTCAGTGAGGGTTAAATTAGTTCTGTGTGGGATCTGAGAGAGAGCAGCATATGTCTTCAATAGTGAAACTTTAAAGTTCTTAAAGGAGTTAAATTTACCAAGAAATTAAACTGTGTGGAATCTTAAGGACTAAAACTGACAGTGTGTGTGATACAATTGACAAATATATTTACAAGAACCTTATTCCCAACCAGTTACATAATAACCAACCTCTTATTTTGTTCCCCTTTCAATAAATCCTCTTTTATTTAAGTTAATCCCAGAAGTCATATCAATTATTCCTCAGGAACACAGAGACCCTTGAAAGCCTAGATCCTGGGTCACAATACCAACATAAGAAACTGAGAGTGGATTTGGAATTTAGAAAATTCCTGGTGGCAGCCGGAACTACCTATTTTATAAACACCCAGTATAATTTAAAGAGAAACCTAGTCCTCCCCAATAGGAGGTCGTCACACCCTCCCCCAATCCACAGAATTTGTAGGCAGGATTCAAGCTAATATGGCCTCTTAAAGTCTACTTGTCCCTGAAATTATAAATCTATGTCTGGCCTAATCCACTTCAGACCATGTGGGAGAATCACATCACTTAATGCTTCTCAATATACAAAATTCCCTTTGCATAGAAAAGTAGCATGTCAGGCCCTGACCTGGATAGCCAAGGCAAGCCAGATCTTGGAAACTGAGCAGGGCTGACCCTGGCAAGTACTTGGATGGGAGACCGCCAAGGAATACCAGGGCCGGGACTCAGAGGCAGCAAATAGCAAGCCACCTTTCTGAAACATCCAAGTTCCACTAGGGGTTGCCAGAAGTCAGCCATGACACACACACAAATACTCACCAGAAAAGAAAAGTAACATGTCGGGAAGCAGCCTAGGCTGTATTACCTTCATCCATGACATCTAGTTTCTGTGTGGAAGGATTATTTATTTAGTATGGAGGAATGTTCAAGATGTGAATCAATACCTGTGAAGACATACAGCCCAGACACAAGTTTATTCACTTCAGTGACAACTGGACCATAGTTCATTCTACACTTCCACTTTATCTCTTTTGATCAGTTAAAATTAAAATCATAATATTTGGAAGTCCTGGTTCCATTAGAAGAAACAGCACTAATAAACAGGTTTTATAGTATGAAGGAAAGACTTGTGAAGAATTCAACTAGATAGATAGTAGAAATGAAAAGTGTTTTGATTTAATAAGAAATATGCAAAATCTATAAGTGTTACTGAATTAAGTCTTTTTTCCAAATGTTGCATGTACATTCATGGCATAAAGGCATTTCTGCTCTGTTTGAAGTGTGGTGTTCTTCATACAGAATCCCCCTTCCTGAACTAAAGGATTCTGACAAGCTGGATAAGATAATGAATATGAAGGAAGCCACTAAGCGTGTGCGTCTTGGTCCAGACTGCTTGCCTTCTATCTGTTTCTACACGTTCCTTAATGCTTATCAGGTTAGTGTGCAGCATTGATCAGTGGCACTGTTCACAAAACACTTTTGAACTACGACTGCTGTGATACCTGCAGGAGAATTAAGACTCTGATAACTGTTTTTTTTTTTAAGTGAATGCTTCGTTAAATATTTGCTTTGCTTGAACTCATAAACCTGCAGACAATTTATATACACATTATAGCTGAGGCTAATTTTGTGGAAACCTTAAATATCAAAGGAGTATCACTGTAGGCAAAATAACTGAGAATCAAAGAAAACATATAGGGTAAATTATAGTTAGGATGAACTTCTCAAGTAAATTCTGAGAAAAGGGTTCATTACCACAAGAACGTCCTTACCTGGATAGCCCAGGCTAGACCAATCTCGGCAGATCTCAGAAGCTAAGCAGGGCTGGCCCTGGTCAGTATTTGGATGGGAGACCACCAGGGAATACCAGGGTCATGACATGGAGGAAGGAAGTGGCAAACCACCTCTGAACATCTCTTGTCTTGAAAACCCTATGGGGTTGCCATAAATCAGCTGTGACTTGACAGCAAAAAAAAAAATCATGGTCAGAATCAGGCTGTACGGTGACTTTAATAGAATATAGCCTTTGTACTCCCATATGTGTATACAATATAGAAAAAAATCATCGCCATTTACTTTTTACTTTTTTACCTGAGCCATTCGTATTATCCAGGAGCACTGTGTCCTTGTTCTTCTACTTTATATATGACTAGCCTGATACCTGTGCTTTGTTATGGTATTTAAGTTCCGTAAATCCAGTTATAATACTGATGTGAAGTCTGAAATGTAACATTTGTTGTAGGAATTCTAATGGAGAAGATTGCAGTGTAAGAAATGAAGTGAGACATACGTACTTTCCCCCCTCTCTACAGAAGGACCTCTCTCTAGACCACATTGGTGGTTCTGCCCTCAGGTGCTAGGATCACCAGGCTGCTTGATGAGCTCACTCTGGAGCAGGCCACATAGAACTGTCCATTTAAGAAGCAGTCGTCTGCTAAGTCAACTCCTGCTACCTTCCACGAAAGTGATGGCCTCTCTACTTGTGTTCCTGGATTGTTTTGCTCATATGGAAACTGTGTTGTTCTGAGCACCTCAGGGTGATCTTGCTGGTACTTGGCCTGTGCAGTTCAGTGCACTGCAGGAGTACTATGTGCAAATGTCTTTGCCGCATTCCTAAATTGCCTCCTCCTTGTAGCGTTGGTGTATCTGGCTCAATGTTTGCCAGGAGCTTTCTTGGGGGCAGTAAGAGGTGAGGGGGGAGTTGGTGTGAGGGAGTGGTGATGTAGTGGACATTTCTTCAGGTTCATGAAGGAGGCACACATCGAAATGGCTCCTAGAGATGTCCTTTACTATCTCCCCATAAACATTCATACCCTGGCCCTGCTCCTACACCTGACAGACACTGGCCTGTCTGGTTTTCGGGGGGATTGTATTTTAAGGCATTGGGGAGGCTGGGCCAGCAGCACTGCTAAGGCAATCCTGCTGAGCAAACCTCCCTGGCGGCTGTAAGCATCCCACCTCCTCTCCTACAGCTGACAGACAGCTGCCCAGTGTAGGACGGGGAGGGGGGAGGAGTATTAGAAGCTACTGTGGAGGCAGGGCTGGCAGGATCACTAAGGCGTTACTGCTGGGGCAGACTCCCTCGTAGTTTTAAGCACCCTGCAACCACTGCTGCACCTGACAGACAACTGCCTGTTAGGTGTAGGAGGTGGTGGGAGTGTGTTGGAAGCCATCCCACCTCCTCTCTTACACCTGACAGGCAGCTGCCTGTCCACTGTAGGAGGGGGAGGAGTATTAGAAGCCACTGTGGAGGTGGGGCTGCACCTGACAGACAACCGCCTGTTAGGTGTAGGAGGTGGGGGGAGTGTGTAGGAAGCCATCAGAGGCTGGGCCAGCAGCTTTGCTTCACCTCATAGGTGGTTCTTGGCCACTCCTGATTTCCTCAACTGTCATTAGCTCTCTACAGTCCCCTGTAACTGTTGGGTTTTCCCCCTCAGAACTAGGGGTATGCAAAAAAATAAAAAATTCGGCCCGATTCAGCAGAATCGGGCAGAATCAATTTCAGCCAGCATAAAGACTCCTGCATGTCAATTTCGGCCGTAGGAGCCATTCAGGAGTCTATGGGCCAGGGAATGTCAGTTTCAGCCCCATTATATCCTATGGGCCATTGAAGTCAATGGCAAAAACATAGGGTATATTCTGGGAGCTGGAGGGGAGGGGGTTTGAAGGAGAGGCTCCAAACCTGCAGGTTAGCTGCTGGAGTCTCTCCCCAAGATACCAACCAAGTTTCAAGAACATTGGACTAGGGGGGTCCAATTCTATGGGCCCTCAAACAGGTTGCCCCATCTCCTCCATTCTCTATGGTGGGGGAAACGTTACTTTCCCCCTACCATAGAGAACAATGGAGGGGATAGGGGCAACCTGTTTGGGGGGCCGTAGAATTGGACCCCCTGGTCCAATGTTCTTCAAACTTGGTTGGTATCTTGGGGAGAGGCTCCAGCAGCTACCCTGAGAGTTTGGAGCCTCTCCCTCAAACCCCCTCCCTCCAGCCCCCAGAATATACCCTATGTTTCCGCCATTGACTTCAATGGTCCATAGGATATAATGGGGTCGAATTGCCGCCGAAATTTGGTGGCAATTTGGCGGCAAGCCGATTCAGATCAGAGAATCTGAATCTGTCTACAGCAGCCCGAAAGGGGTCCGAATGGGCCATTTTCGGGGGTGCATTCGGTTCAGACGAACCGAATGCACATCCCTACTCAGAACACTGAGCTCTGCAGCTGACCAATCAGAGAGTGGGGGGTTCAGAGAGGCAGCCGCCTGGTAGCTGCATAGGAATCAATGTGAGGAGTGCATTTCCCCCTTTTGACCCACTTAGGGGTCGAATTTCTACAAATCTCTTCTTAGTGAGTACCTACGCCATGGTAGGAGTGCTCTCCCCGAATTTGGTGTCTCTAGGTCCAGCGGTTTGGCCTGGGTGTTGATTTTACGGTGAGGGGACTTTCTTTTATATATATAGATGATGGCTTGGATTCAGTGGAAGGATTTCCAAGAGTGGAAGGTGGAATTGATTTTTATCAGTTCCCCCCTCCTGTTACAAATTTCCATCTCCTCTTCTCCAGAGCTGTTCCTGGTGATCTCCTTTCCCACCAGAAGCAATACTTGGAGGGGCATTGGGGCTGCAGGCAGAGGGGGGCAGGGGATTTCTGTTCCATGGACAAACCCCCCTTTCATCTGCAGACATCTGCATTAGATCTAAGCCAGTGTCTGTCTAGTCATATGGAGGTTTCATTCTTGAGCTTTCTCATCCTCTGTTTTTTCCTCTGAGGAATAGAAATCACATGATAAAACCTCCTATACAATTATTTGTGTGGAGGCTGTGGACCGTGGTGGGATGGTGGGGATCATACACTACATAAATGTCCAAGCTAACACAATGAACCAGGACTGTCTAATATAATGCTTATGCTATTAACTAGCTATAGATAAATTTATGAATTTTAACAATGAATGATCAATAACTCATAATTATTTCATATATATCACATAATTATTGTAAGCATGCCTGCCTGTCCAATATTGAAATCTTAAGTATGTAAAACCAGCATTATGTATTCCACTGGATAAGTGTTGCTGTGAGGCTAAACTGGTGGGTCACTATATGTTCTTACAATGCAGCTTTAAGCAGTTACTCCCTTCTGTGCCCAGTGACTTCAATGGACTAAGGTGTAACTCTGTTTAAGGTTGTACTGTTAGCCAGTTTTATTACCTAGTCCAAGATAATACAAGTTCTTAGGGGCTTACTCATCTTGCCCCCCCAACTGATGTTTAGCGTGTTCAGCATTCTGTGGTTTCTGGTGGGCAACAAGCATACTTCCCTCATTTATTTTTCTGCATGCCTAGGAAGCCCCTTGAGTATGCAAGAATACCTGCTTTCACTGCCCTTCTGATGGAAGGAGTGATGCTTTGAGCAGAGGTTTCATTGATAGTCTGTTGTGCGCATTGATCAAATGTAAGCATTATTATTAATGCTATAAATGTGCAAAGCTTTCCTTCAGCTATTTAAATTACAGGAGATCCACAATATATAGATGGCGGGTAAAAATACAGTGCTGACCAGGAATCGTTTTCTGATGACCACATGATCTTGGTTTCCCAGCATGAAATATAGTTCCCTGAAGTCTCCATGCATTGCAGATAACTCTTGAGGAGAGGGGGGTGCTGGACTTCTTTGCCTAGTCTTTTAGAATACATAGAGTTGGGGAAGGAAATGGGCAAACTCGCACCACACTAGGCTTTGAAGACACTGAGAAACAAGAGATTCTCATGTTTCACAGTTTCTAAATTCTGATTTGAAGTGAGCGATTGAAATCCTCCCCTCTCAAGGCCTCCATACATGGCCTGTCTTGAGATGGTTGAGGTTGGCGACATCTGAAAGTAATGATTGGCTATCCAGGCCAATTAAAATTGTGGACTTCTTCTGCCTAAGTATAGCATAATTTGTTTTACACAAAAGGATTTGCTATGTGATAATTCCAACTCTGGGAAATGCTGGGAAAGATTGAAGGTCAAAGAAGACGGGGACGGCAAAGGATGAGATGGTTAGACAGTGTCATCGATGCAACGAACATGAAATTGAGCCAACATCAGAGGACGGCGGAAGACAGGAGGGCCTGGCGGGAGCTTGTCCATGGGGTCGCAAAGAGTCGGACTCGACTGTGCGACTGAACAACAACAACAAAATTCCAACTCAAGTATTATTGGTGGCTAATTTTCCTTGAATAAGAACACGTAATTTAAACAGTTCTATGTATCATTTATTATATTGAAAAACCTTCTTAAAATAGTACCTTTTGTATGTACAGGGCCTAACAGCAGTGGATTTTACGGATGACTCTAGCATGATTGTAGGAGGTTTTGCTGACTCCACTGTCAGAGTATGGTCTGTGACACCCAAAAAACTACGTAGCGTAAAGTCGGCAGCAGGTAATATAATTCTTATAGGTTTAACTGATATAACTGACAACAACACTTGATCTTATATAGAAGAAAGACTACATATATGTTCTTAAGTTCTTAAGCAAATTGAAGGCTAGTGGAAATTTGGTGTGAGTATCCCTGATTTCAGTAAGGGGCTGTAGTGTCAAAATACTTGTTTTAAAAAGTTGCAGTATTTGCAGCAAAATGTGCTTGCACTTATGGAATTATTCTGTTGAAAAGTACTTAAAGTATTCTAGTGTTGATTGTACTTGCACTTCAGCAACTACAACTGCCAAGCTCTATAAATGTGAACTTCAACTTTTTCTCCTCAGATCTCAGCCTCATAGATAAAGAATCTGATGATGTTTTAGAAAGGATCATGGATGAGAAAACAGCAAGTGAGTTGAAGATTTTATATGGTCACAGTGGACCTGTCTACGGTACCAGCTTCAGCCCCGATAGGTAAACATTTCTTAATAAAATAATAATAATAATGTTCAAATAGAAAAAACAAAATATTAAAAAGGTGTCTTGTTGGAGACATTATACAATCTGAGTGTTTAATTCATTGTCAACATGGCTCCTGAGAAGAATGAATGGCTATGTGAGCATCAGAAGATTATCTGTATCTCATTGGATACTAAAAACCATTACCAGTGTCACCTTATTTGAAACCTCTGTTCTTCAGTTAGGCTTTGTCCAATATCAAACAGCTTAGAGTAAGCAGTATCATAGCATGTACTGATAGTAGTGTAACATGTGTTAAACCAAACATCTATGGCAAATATACCTATGTCCATGAATCCCAAGTTCCCCTCTTGCTATAATTTCTGAACTTAAAAAATGTGTGTGTATGTAAATTAAGGAACTTGAAAGGTTCAAAGAAAGCCACATTTTCCATAAAACTAACTTTGCAGAAAGGCCAGTTGAAACAGACTGAGACTTAGAAATAAGATATGAATGGGGCAGTCTATATGTTGTTTTACCTAAGAGGTATAGTGGTTAGCGTCGGACTGGGATCTGGGAGACCCAGGTTTGAATCCCCACTCTGTCATAAAACTTCCTTGAGCCAGTCACACACACTCAGCCTAACCTACTTCACAGGGTTGTTAGGATAAAATGGAGAAAGTGATGTAAGCTGCTTTGGCTCCCCATTGAGGAGCAAGGGAAAATATTTAAAACTGCTTGTAGAAAACACGAACAAGAAGTAACACCTTAGGTATATGGTGAAGATGAAGAGTTCTTAAACTATTTGTCTACTATTATAAACATTTGGTTATCTTAACAATTTGTTACACATTTGACACATGCTATGTAAGTATTACTATCAGTGCTACTCTGCAATATATTTTTGGTGTTCAGATTGTTACCTTCATATGGTGTTACTGTTCTTTTTGACAGGAACTATTTGTTATCATCTTCAGAGGATGGCACAATCAGATTGTGGAGCCTCCTAACCTTTTCTTGTCTGGTGGGATACAAAGGACACAACTACCCTGTGTGGGACACACAGTTCTCACCCTATGGATATTACTTTGTGTCAGGTGGTCATGACAGGGTGGCTCGGTAAGAATCTACCAAAGCTTTTCATCTAGATATAAACTTGCAAATGTCAGTGAGCTATAAATCTCATCTAGAATGTATCCTTTAAGTGACGATGCTTAATATCAGGCTAAAAATTAACACAAATTCCTTTTTTATATAACTTTTCCTTTAGAAGAATTAGAAATTCCTTTAGCCTGTCCATGGTCATAAGTAAAATTTCAGCTAGCTACATGAAATCCTCAAAGCAGTATCTGTAAGTTCTTTAAAACAAGATTGGAAGCCCTTGTGAATCAAACACTGTTTACTAATAAAAGAGCAAGTAGTAAAGTTCTGTGTTCCTTGTAATGAAATGTTTTTTTTGCATTGGTTTCAGTTTGTGGGCTACAGATCACTACCAGCCTTTGAGGATCTTTGCTGGCCATCTTGCTGATGTCACGTGTACACGTTTTCACTCAAACTCCAACTACGTTGCTACCGGCTCAGCAGATAGAACGGTGCGGCTGTGGGATGTTCTGAATGGGAATTGTGTGAGAATCTTCACAGGACATAAGGTAAATTAATGTCAGATTCATTTTAAAATTATTTAAGTTCTGTATGCAACCAGTGTAATTAAAAGTCAGGTAAAAACGGTAGCATTCCCTTGTAGTTATTCCCCCCCCCCATCCCTTTAAGCTTCTAAATATAGAAATAATTCTTGTGGAATAGGGATGTATTTATTTATCATATTTATACCCCACCCTCCCAGCCAAAGCCAGCTCAGCCGAAGCCAGATGGTCAACTAGTGGTGACGGACATCCTGCAAAGCACACCTTGTATTTCTTTTCTTCTTCTTCTTTTTTTTTTTTTTTTGGGGGGGGGGAACCTAGTTCCAGATTTGGAATGCAAGACACTAGCACCACTTCTTACCTGGAAGGGGCTGCCTTCATTTTGAGGGAGAGGCACTTGATAGGTGCTACTGAAGGTGCTACTGAAGGGAAAGATGGCAGAGCTGGGAGATTTGTACGTGGATTCTAACTGATGCTCCCCCTATTAGGAAATTAGGAGGAGAGCCCACAAGCTAAATAGCATGAATGTGCCCAAGTCTCTTACTCTGGAGAAATGTCTCCCACAATCAAATTCTATAGTGTGGTTGCAGATTGCAGTGGCTGGGGAGCTGGCACGCCCATAGATCTACTACAGAGAGAAGTGAAGGACTTCCTGGGGACATCCTGCCTACACCTGAGCATCTTGGCAGGGAGAGTCTGGCCATCCAGTCTTAAGAAATTGACTGGTAGTGATTTAAGTAATGTGCTGCTGCAAACCTGCACATTTTTAGAGGGGTGTTTTTTGGTTTGGGTTTTTTTTTTTTGGTATTTTTCATGTGTGTGTGCGTGTGCGCACACCTGGAAGTCATGGCGACCTCTGGTGACTGACCCCTACTGGGGGCCTGGAGGATATTCAGAAGTGGCTGAATAAAGCCTGCCCCTGCCTCCCGACTGCTTGGTATTCCAAGGAGGTCTCCCATCAAAGTACTTGCCAGAGTCAACCCTGCTTTGCATCTGAGATCTGATGAGATCGGGCTTGCCTGGGCTATCCAGGTCAGGGTGGTTTGACAATCTATTCCAAACCTGAAAGATCTTCTTTTCCAAAAGGTGGAAGGAGTAGAAATTTAGGCTGGGATCAGTCTAGGATCCAGCTAGTTCTATGTACTTAAGAACATAAGAATACAAGAGAAGCCAATGTTGGATCAGGCCAGTGGCCCATCCAGTCCAACACTCTGTCACACAGTGGCCAAAAATACCAGGTGCCATCAGGAGGTCCAGCAGTGGGGCCAGGACACTAGAAGCCCTCCCACTGTTGCCCCCCCAGCACCACAAACACAGAGCATCACTTTCCCCAGACTGAGAATTCCTATCTATATCTTGTTACTAATAGCCACTGATGGATCTCTGCTCCATATGTTTATCCAATTCCCTCTTGAAGCCACCCATGCTTGTAGTTGCCACCACCTCCTGTGGCAGTGAGTTCCATGTGTTAATCACTCTTTGAGCTTGCATGTCTAAAATATTAGTTTTCCATGCCACCTATCTAATCATTTCTGAAAATGAAGGAACTTCCTGAAGCAGTTTCAGACACAGCATGGAAAGTAACTGCTGAAACAGTAAAAACCCTACTGGGACTCCAAGTCGTTATGCATGACTAAATAATATTTTGAATCTCAGTTGATGCTAATTGTAGGGCACTGGAATAGTAGGTGTCGAACACATGAACTTGCCTTATACATGTCCAATTATTCATTTGTCAAAGTCACTATAATTGACTCGATGGCTGTGGCTCTCTTTGGGTAGAGGTTTTTCACATCACCTATTACATGATGCTTTTTAGTCACGATACTGGAGACTGAACCTGGTACTTTCTGCATGCAAAGCAGATGCTCTGCTCCTAAATCATGGTCTGCTTCCATGTGTATACATCTACTGTTGGCTATGCAGTAAAATTACATAATACTAGGGGCAAGTTTAAGGAGATGGATTCCAGGCAGTCTGGCAGTAGAACCTATAAACTGAGCTTGTTCACTTTGATAATGTTTGAAAACTGTTTTAAATCATGACTAATATATAGACATGAGTATTTAGATGCTAAAGTTTCATTCTGTAATAGTTTTACTTTTTTTGTTCTAGGGACCAGTTCATTCACTAGCATTTTCTCCTAATGGAAGATTCTTGGCATCTGGAGCTACAGATGGAAGAGTGCTTCTCTGGGATATTGGCCATGGTTTGATGGTAGGGGAGTTAAAAGGACACACAGATACAATCTGTGCACTCCGGTTCAGTAGAGATGGAGAAATTTTAGCATCAGGTATGTAAATCAAGATTTCTTGTTCATTGGGTCAGTAATAATGGCTGTTAGTTTGCGTGGAGAAAGAGCTCATATGAAGCCACCTAAGTTTAGAACACCAATTTGCCATTATGACCTTATGTAGGTGTTAAGGCAAAATGGTTCCTCCTCCCAAGCCAGGATTCTAAACTGAAGTGTGATTGAAGGCTTCTGAAACATGGAGGCCTTCAATTGTGTTCCACATGGGAAAAGGGGACACAAACATGGCAGCAAACTATATTTACACCCCATAGTTATGCAGGTTTGTGACATCTGAATGCAGTGCATAATAGGCTCACTTTTATATTAGGATGCCCTCTCTTTGTCTCTGATCTTGGATAGTGAACTTAGAAACAGTGTTGCTGCTCAAGGTCAGTGTATTCACCTTAAATTAGGGGTGTGCAAAAAACATATGGAACCCCCAAAAATCAGTATTTCTCAATATTCTGGAATCCCAATACCACTAGGATATTCAGATTCGGTAAATATTTAGGAAACACAATTTTTTTCATCTCCATTGTACCCTATGGGGACCCTTATAGTCAATGGTCCCCATAGAATATAATGGAGAATCAATCCGAGGGTATCTGGGGCTCTAGGGGGCTGATTTTTGAGGTAAAGGCACCAAATTTATAGCATAGCTGCTGGCGCTTTCTCCTCAACCCCCCAAAAAATTTTTTCAAAAAGATTGGACCAAGGAGTCCAATTCTGAGGGCCCCAGAAGAAGGTGCCTCCATCCTCCATTGTTTCCAATTAAGGGGGAAAAGACATTTGAAGGGCTTATAGTCCCTTTAAATGACTTCTTCAAGCTGTGGGACTCCATGGTAAATGAACTCCGAAGGCATTCAAAAGGCTTGCAGTACCTTTAAACAACTCCAAGCAGTGAGTTCACCCAGAAGGCATTTTAAAGGGACTGCAGGCCCTTTAAACATCTTGGGAGTTCACTGGCCACGAAGTCACATGGCTTGGAAAAGAAATTTCGAGGGACTGCAAGCCCTTTGGCTATCTGGTGGTCCTGAAAACCCTGAATATTTTTGGCGCTTGGCAATTTTGGATACTCAAAATACACCCCCAATTTAAAACCAGCTTTAAAGCTGTTTTTTTTTTGGCTTGGTTTATGCTGAATGCACACCCCTACCTTAAATTCTTGTGAATCCTGTAACACTACTCTGGGCTTTTAAAAAAATGATACTTACTGGTACTCAGTATCTGCAACTTTTGGGAGGGGCTTTCCAAAGTCCTGATCCTCATGTGCTGGCCTGCCCCATTCTACCAGAGAAAGAATATATCCTCAGGAACAGCCTAGTTGGAATTTGCAGTGGAATGGGGGAATTGGTGGACCACTGGCATCATTTTTCTTACAAAAAAGCACTTGCACTAGTACTCCGAGAGACCTTGAATTTGACAACCTGATTGTTGTATTTAGTGAGATTATTGTATTTAGTGAATGGATTTACTTATACTGTGAGCTGATAAATGCAGATCCTGTTAATTTTGTCCCATTTCTTATTAGGGTCGATGGATAACACAGTGAAGTTGTGGGATGCTGTGAAAGCCTTTGAGGACTTAGAAACAGATGATTTCACCACAGCCACTGGGCATATAAATCTGCCTGAAAGCTCTCAGGACCTGTTGTTAGGTACCTACATGACCAAATCAACCCCTGTCATACATCTCCATTTCACCCGTAGAAATCTGCTTCTTTCTGCTGGGGCTTACAGTTCCCAGTGAACTATGAAACTACAAGACTTGGTTGTATAAGCCTTGTGAAGTAAAGACTGTAGAAGAATTTGCATTATTTAAGACTGTGATGAACTTGTCTGCTGGAAGAAGCAACATAAACTATGTCTCAACCTTCAAGTAACTGCTGTTTCAAGTCTCACTGGAAAATGCTGGACTCTGAAATCATGGATTTGATGGTGGTGGGGGGGGAGAGTTTGGTTTTAATTCAGGTAAGTGTACAGATAGTCTCTCTTATCCTCAGCAAGAAAATGATTAGTCAGGTCTAAAATGCAGAACCAGTTGTAAAAAGCAAAGGTAAACAACATTGTTAACAACTTTTCAAAAGCACTTACTTTGTCATTTCCCCAAGTTTGAACACTTTCAGTAGGAGTTTCCACATGGAACTGTGGGTTCTTCTATAATGTGGAGAGAGAATACAACTAGCTATTTGGCCTATGTGAGTTACCTAATTTATTCTAAAGAGGACAGTATAGATTGAGTATAGGGAGGCCTGCAGACATAATTTGAATGATGCTTTAGAGACGGACCTTTTACAGATGTGACAATCTTTAATAGGGATGCTGTTTTACGTCCTCTGTAAGATTACTTTGGGACAGAAGCACAGCATCACCTCCCCATAAAGTGTATACTAGAGTAACACCACATTGCTTTTCTGTAATGGGTTAGTAACTGTAATTCAGGCTTTCAGTTACAACACAGCTTGAGCTGTTTACCAGTTGTTGAATTCCAGCAGAAAATTAATGAGCCACTCGTTTGTAAAAAGGCAACTGCCATAGTTTTGCATTTTGTACAGTTTTATATTTTTGATATTTTGTAATAAAGACAAATTATGCTGTGCAATTCTTACAATGAAATATTGCTGCGGTGTCTGTTAGAACTAATACCATCAAGCTTTATCTTCCCATGGAAAAGTGGAACAATTAATTTTAAGGAAAAATTGTGGGTCAATAAAACTTCTAAGTTTCTCCCCCAGTCACTTATGTAATGGTTCCTCTTGATATTTACCACTGGACTGAAACATACACATTTGCATATACCCTTTCTTTTAGGGGACGGGGAGAAGCTAGTTAAGCATTTCCCTCTGACAAGGTATGTGGTTACAGCACAGTAACTATACACCTACAGTTAGCTAATATGAGGGACATCTATTTCTGTTAAGTATTCCCTGACCCATTGTATATAATTGGTAAAAACTGGTCATTGTAGCCCTTGGGTCTTTCTGCAGTGCAGAATATATAGCTATTTAAAAGGGAACAATCCTGAAATTAAGGCTGTGTTACATTTCCTTGATGAGTGACAGCTTAACTTTACCAGAAGCAAGGGCAAATAACTGGATAGGTAAATGCTACTTTATATCCTGGAAAATAAACATCTGTACTGCTTACACAGTAATATAACTGTATTGACTGTAGGCCTGAGGGCGAAGGGGATATTCTACATGAAATCTACATATTGACTTGGAAGAGAAGTAGAGGTGTATGCTGATGGTACTTAGGCTCTACTCAGACAACATCTGTGTTTGACAACATCTGTGTTCTTATCAACAGGAGTATGTGATACTTTCATTAGTTATTCCTGATTTACAAGAACACTAAGTAACATAGAAAACCTGCAAGAATTTCATAATTTGGTTAGTAAGCTCTCATTTTGTTAAGAACCACTGCTCCACCAAACAAGATGAGGATCACAGAACTCTTTGTAAAAGGCAAAATGCAAGTGCAATACTCAGAAATATTAACAAAAGATATGGCATTTTAGCCCCAGTTGTGTTTTCAAGCAGTTTTTAAAATCTGTAATTTTTCTTAATATAATGCAGGAATATTATCTTTAACA